GCTTTTAATCAGAAAATTTACTGCTCACCTGTCATGTTTACAGGATTAAACGTAGAAAGTTATTTATTCCTTTAACAGGAAATACATTTTTCAAGCAATATATTTTGGGGGGACTCTCTGAAACAGAACCGGAACTCAAGATGAGAACAGTCTGAAATGATTGTATCTCTTGATCTTAGTCACAATGTGGAATTTATTACTTTCAGTAGTTAATGTTTAACTAATTTAACCTTTGTGGATAAACGCTGAAACAATCTTTGATTCAGGTGTGATGGACAAACTGCAGAACTTAATTTTAGCAACAAGAAGAATGAATCCAAATTAATTCATGACATATTTGTATTGTTCTTTTATTATTAATAAACTGATCTTAATCATACAACAAGGAGATGTTGTTGGAAAAACAATCTGGGCAAATCATTGTGTAAATTTTAAATAACCTTTGCAGAACTGAATGATTTCAGCTCTGCTTTTACTTTGAAAGTTTATGAAATAAAGAGTGTATTGTGTTATTTTTTTCCCTGTTCCAAAAACACAAAGTTTCAGTGGTGTGATTCCTAAAAAGCACCAGAATGGTAGGAAATGTTGCTCATTCACAGAACAAGATGACAGTAAAATATGTGTGATGTGTAAACCAACGGAGCGAAACATAAAAACTGGTTTGTCAAGTTTGCTCCAGAAAGCCAGACTCTCTAAACACTGCGTTAAAACCAAACCTGGATCTTCTCCACGCTCCTGGCGCAGCCCACCACCTTCATCCCGGACCGGACCAGCTCTTTAGCGATGGCCGCTCCGATCCCGACCGAAGCTCCGGTCACCAGAGCCACTCTGCCRCTCCAGCGGTCCATCTTTCACTGCTGAGACACTGAAGTCCTGCCGACATGAAGGAGAACCGAGCCGACGCCAGAGGGCGGGGTTTCTTTCACGCGCGTCCAAGACCGCTGCGCCAGAGGCGGCGCCAGACATTTTTCTCAGGAGTGGCCAAGAAAATTACATAATTCTTTACTCAAAAGTTTCTGCAGATCTTTGTGTTTTGGTAGTTTCTTTATGTCCTTATACAGGCAGTGACTACCTTATAAACATGGGCGTCAAAACCATTTTAAAAGTGGGGGGACACACTGTTGGGGGGTCTCGGGGTCCTCCCCCAGAAAATTTTGAACGAAATAGATGCCCTTTCCAGCATTCTGGTGTATTTTACCAGGTTATTTAACATATTTTTATTTACATAAATAAACACTTGATTTAATAATTATTTTAGAGACAGGTTATTCATAAAACTGGTTTCATTATCCTGTTTTTAAACTCACTGGTTTAGCTCAGATAAGGTTCATTATGTGACACAATTTATCATATAAAATTACATTAGGGATGTTTTTTTACTTTTATGCTGTTTATTGATTTATTTTTAATTTTAACACATCATTGTGCCAAATAATGATGACCTTCAACTGCATGTTTAAAACTAATATTAATTATTTTACCCGATGAACAGGTGCAATATTGAAAATCACCAACAGTGACTTTAGAGGGGTTTTTCACTTTTTCTGATTTAGTGAAAGGTCTACTCATAACCAAAACAGACAGAGCACCTTGCAGCCTTCAGAACATAAAATAACACTGTGTTATGATGACAAAAAAAATCACTTGTCACCATAAGTAGATTATAGGCATACTGTGGCTGTGTCCAGGCCCGGTCCTCCGAAGGCCGCATACGTCACAGCGCCGCGACGAAGGACGTCCAAAACCAAAGACTCCTCCGATGCGGCCGACAAATARGTCCTTCSTTTGGCCCGAATCGAAGGACAGGTCTGATGGATCCTTCCCGGCCCAGCGTATCCCATAATGCATTGCGGCCCGACCGGAGATTTTTTTATAATAGTAATGGTGGACGAAGCGAGAGAAAAGAATACGTTTTAAATAAAAATATGGTGATATAAAAATTTTAAAAAAAATTGCGGTTGTAATTCTAATACTTTTATCATTTGTATGGACATGTTTTTAAATATTATTTTTTCGTCATAAAAAACGCGAAATAAACATGAACCTACAGC